GTCAAATAGTGACTCACAGGGATCTTTCTGGCAGAACATGTTTTCTGATAAGATGAAGTCAGCAGAGTGGCCTGTGCTCGTTAAAAACATTTTAGTTTGACTCTTTCTGAAACAATGTTATAAGACTATGCAAGTAATCTTTATTTATTTGAGATAAGATGGACTTGATCTCACTCTGGAGAAATGTACTTGTCACATTTGGCATAAATAGAATCACTCAGATTGTGCAAAAAAGACAGAAGTGTGGAAACATGTTAAAGGTTAAAGGTGGCAATAATAGCTTTTTCACCTTTACATCGCCTCTCGCAGACCAGAGTCACAAAGCGCTTGACAATTGTTGTGGGCATTTGTCTCACACAGAGATGGGAGCGAGGTCGCCGTACAGAAAGCACCTACGCAGACACGGGGAGAACATGCAAAAACCACGCAGAAAGGTCTGGAGGTGCCCAAGCTCTAACCGCATGAAATAGTTAAGCTTTCATTGAATGTTGCTGCGTTTCTTTGGTTCGACTGCGACTTCTGGAGATTTTTGTAGAGAGCAAATTCTCATCTTCGCAGTTTGGTCTCATCATCTTCAGCACAAATGATCTTTCAGCAGCGGAGCCTCGAGGGGGAAGCAGACGGAGAAAACCGCTCTATGCTTTTCAAAATCTATCTTTATTCCAAATGAACATATTCTCTTCCTACTTGTATGAATATTACACGAAACACATCTCACCCAATAGTCAAACCTATCAAACAATAACTCTAACTCACAAACAGCAAAAACAAAAGCAACACAAAACAAACATTATAATATACCAACTATTCAAACCATGGATACAGTTGTGTTTGATCAATGGAATTTGTCATTTTCTTACAACGTTTTCTCCATAGAATTGGTTTTATGTGCGTTTGTTTTTCCTAAATATGAAGCTAAAAAAAGGAAAAAAGAACGAAATAATAGAATGGACGTGCACCGACTCCAAACTTGAGCCTTGAAAACCTCAGACCACAACATGCTGGGTTCATCTTGCTAGCAAACGTGTTATCTTTGCATTCTTCTTCATTTGACCCTTTGGGCTGAGAGCTGATTGGCTGAGTGGGGGCGGTCCTCTTTTTGTCAGGTTTGTGTCTGATGAAGCTGATCTGAAAATGTGAGGCCAGAAATATATGCATGTAGAACCTATGTACGACCACAGTGTTTTGACAAGAAAGAACAGATGGATGGATTTCATAACATTCTACAGTTTTTTGTGTTTTAAAAGTCAGATACCTCAGCTTTAAGTTTGCAGAAGAGTCCTAGAGTTCTTGAGGGAAAACTGAGCGAGTCGCAGCTGTGTCTATTGAAGCACAGTTTATGTACACGGCTTAATAAAGTTTGAAAGTTTAATTTCACGCCGGTCTGAGTGGCGGAGATCGGTCGCGTCCAAAACATTTTGTGAACCATCTGTTTCTCAAGTGGTTTTTGTGTTTTTCATAAGTCAAATCTAATGACATTTACTCACAGTGCACTAACCGCTTGAGATGCAGAGTGAGAACGTGTTAAATTAAAGCTGGGGAACCTAACTTTCACACTACAACAATGGAACTACATGAACAATCCATAGGTCTGAGCTTTCAGTGGCTTTTGAAACATTGTTAGACCAGCTTTTTCAAAATCATCTCTCAGCCCAAAGAGTCAAATGGGGACACACAGAGCTCTTTCTTTGGATAATAATAATAATAATAATAATAATGATAATGATAATAATAATTAAGGTGGTGTTTATTTTGAATGAATTAAATCAGTCTAATTCGTTTGCCACTTTATTGCTCTTCTACTTATACTAAAATAAGCTCAAGTTAAGAAAATGTGATCTAAATTCAAGTATTTTACCCAATAGTTCATTCTGTGGAGGTTTCAGAAATCCCAGCGGCATTTCTGCTCATCTTCACCGACACAACACTCGCATGACATGGTTTTCTAGTTCATTCTGTCCCAAGTTAGAGCAGCGGTCTCCAACCTGTAGCTCGGGAACTACCAGTAGCTCACCAGCCCCTTTCAGGTAGCTCTCCAAAGGATTTAGAATTTAACACATGATCCTGAATGAACACATTTTGAGTCATTCCAAGTCTGTTATAAATATATAAACTTATAATGGACAAATATTTGGGTTATTTAGTATTATTTACATGTATTCTCCATGCTTTGTCTAAATATCACTTAGATCCTAAAAACAACTGCAGAAAGGAGTAGCTCTCTGCCTCTTCTGTTGACCCCTGGGTTGAGGTTAGTGGCTGTTATACATCATCATCAACATTGAACTGAAATCATTAGTTAATATTCATTAATATTAGGACGTGGGCCACACTTTAGTTTAGCCCTCACTGATTAACTGCTAATTATTGTATAATTGATGGTGAATCTATAATTGGTATTTTTTAAGCACTTTTTTGTCTTTATTCTTCCTGGCCTTATTCAACATCTACCCATATCCCAGGTGGGTTAAGGTTAGGGTTAACCCACTAAAGTGTTTCCCAAAAGAGTAATTAAGGCAAACTATATTGTATTTTTTATATTTGAAACCTATAGAAGAACAAATGACACCAGCAGTTTAACCACAAACATTAAAGACAGAACAAAGCTGAATATATATTTCTGGGAAACCATAAACTGTGACATGCGCTACGTAATTAAAGATGACCTACTTCCTTTTTTTAAACAGTAAATGCCGAGCGCCACTGGATCAGAGTTGAAGAGGCTTGAGCTGCACTTCCCGGAGGATGTCGGTGTCTGGACTGAGGCGAAGACGGAGAAAACAGATGTTGGAGCGAAGACACCGGAGCTCTTCACTGTTGTCGTCCCCATGTCCTTCTGTTTATGTGAGACCTACACCACATTTACTCACTTATTTATGGGCATTTATATTCAATTCAGAGTGATTCATGCAGCCGTCCAGAGGGAACCAAGGATTTCTGCTTTCCCATGAACAAAACAGGGAGAAAACTGAATGCGGTGGAATATAAATGCATGGTATCAGAACTGATTTGTTGTGAAAATGAGAATAAATCTAGACCGATTGGTTATCCTGAAAAATGTATTAAGCACCATCTGAATGTTATGGTTCAATATTTATAATATAAAACAATGCTAGCTTGATTAATCGTCTTGTGAATCATCCTTTTTGAAATATGAATCAAATATATGTAATTTTTGCATCCATCGAGGAGATGCTTGGAAAGTGGTGGTGAGCTATCGGAAGCTCCCGAGGTAAACAACTTTTTAATATCATCTCTATCCCATCAGCTCTATCCCAGTAGCTCTATCCCTGTAGCTCTACCCCAGTAGCTCTCTCCCAGTAGCTCTATCCCTGTAGCTCTCTCCCAGTAGCTCTATCCCTGTAGCTCTATCCCAGTAGCTCTATCCCAGTAGCTCTATCCCTGTAGCTCTACCCCAGTAGCTCTATCCCAGTAGCTCTATCCCTGTAGCTCTATCCCTGTAGCTCTATCCCAGTAGATCTATCCCAGTAGCTCTATCCCAGTAGCTCTATCCCTGTAGCTCTATCCCAATAGCTCTCTCCCAGTAGCTCTATCCCTGTAGCTCTATCTCTGTAGCTCTATCCCAGCAGCTCTATCCCTGTAGCTCTATCCCTGTAGCTCTATCCCAGCAGCTCTATCCCTGTAGCTCTATCCCTGTAGCTCTATCCCAGCAGCTCTATCCCAGCAGCTCTATCCCAGTAGCTCTACCCCAGCAGCTCTATCCCTGTAGCTCTACCCCAGTAGCTCTCTCCCAGTAGCTCTACCCCAGTAGCTCTATCCCAGTAGCTCTATCCCTGTAGCTCTATCCCTGTAGCTCTATCCCAGTAGATCTATCCCAGTAGATCTATCCCAGTAGATCTATCCCAGTAGCTCTATCCCTGTAGTTCTATCCCTGCAGCTCTATCCCTGTAGCTCTATCCCAGTAGCTCTATCCCTGCAGCTCTATCCCTGTAGCTCTATCCCTGTAGCTCTATCCCAGTAGCTCTATCCCTGTAGCTCTATCCCTGCTAAAGAACTATAGTTTTGCCAATTAATAATATATATTGAGCTGACATTGAGGACTGCTGGTACACCAACCTTTAACAACTTACTGCTGGTTATAAATATTATAAAAACAGAATCAAGATGTGATGAATTAACCCTTAATCACAGGCAAACATTACACAATATTTAGTTTTTACCCCAGAGATCAGATGCTCTCTCTTAACCTGATAACTCGCTACAAACCAAAATATATGATAGCAGTAAACTCAAACACTGACATTGTTTCGTAAGACAATACTTTAATCCGAGGAGCTTCAGTGAGAGACAGTGCAGGAGAAACATCTTTGAACAGAAAGTATAAAACGTTGCCTTGAGGCGCGTGAAGGCGGTGCTTCCAAACAAGACACAAATGCAAAGCCCCTCTCCGTCCCTTTTCCCGGCGCTCCTCATTATAAAACAAAGATCCAACAATAACATTTTGTGACGATACAGTAGACAGCACACCGCCTGTACACACCAGGTCTCAGAACCGTCTATGTTTTGCAGAATCGCAAGAGATTTTCATAAGTTACTGATAAAAACATATTTACATCGTCTCCAATGTCTCCTTTCCTCTCATTCAGTTCATTCATCGAAGTTCCAAATTTGGTCTTGTGGCTCCGTGTCATCATGCAGTTTTAACTTAAGTACATAATAAGTCCTTGAGGAGTCTGTTTTTTCCCATGATCCTTTGATGCTCAGTGATTCTTTGGCCTTTCAAAAAACTGCGCTCCAAGAAAAACCCGGAGGTCAACAGTGGAAATCTTAAGGGGTTTGAACCATGCCTTGACATTACCACGGGTCAAGTCGTCTGGCAGAATCAAAGAGGTACATTTATGTGTTCATGATCAGTAGCTTTTCACGTTTTCAGCCATATTTGGTCTTTGTGCAACGCTGGAGATTTCCCTTATCGCATTGTCATTTGGTTTAGAAGTGCTACTTGGTCATTGGAGCTCGCTTTGAGAATGCTAAAACGCTCATGCTAAAATGTCACTGCGTTTGCTGCACCACACGACCAGCGTGATCATGGCCAGCGTGAGGAAGATGGGGATGAGGATGAGGGTGATGAGGGTCTCGTCCGGAGGGTCCACCCACACCACCTGCTCGTCGCTGCAGTTGGAGAAGAAGGCCTTGTGGATGCGGATGATGTATCCTTCCACCAGAGGGTTGGGCCAGTAGCAGTCCACGGAGTGAGACTTGGATTCGGTGCAGAGCGTGAAGAGGTGGTACTCGCTGCAGACACAAACAGAAGGAGTCAGATCAGTTTTCTTATGTACGAGAATATACACAGCGTTTTATACTTGCTCCTTATTGGGGTAAAGTTGGGGGTTTTTTGTACTTCTTCATCATAATAAAGATAGAGATTTTTAACTGCTTCTTTTTATGCTAGAGTTAGAGAATGTATTTTATTTCAGTATTATAGTTATTTTTAACTTATCTTGTGCTGTGTGCTACTTATTCCTGCTGTCTGTAACTTCTCCACTGTGGGACGAAGAAAGGATCTCCTAATCTTAATCCTAATCTGAATACATGTGTTGGTCTAGTTCACTTCAACTGGACCAAATCTGATTCACTTGAGGAGATATTTTACAATATGGAGACTGACATAAGGTGGACTGGTGGACACATGTTTTTTAGTAGTTTAACTGTGACGGGGTGAGATGAAAGAGGTCCCAAAATGCAGAAATGCAAAAATATAACTATTTATTTTCCAGTGGAAAAACAAAAGTCAAGAAAAGCACAAGGAACACAGAGAAAAAAAACCTTAGGGCGGGGCCGACAGTCAACCGGCTCATGTCATGGTCAAGTATTTCAAGCTTTGATTTATTTTGTTTTGTTTTTTTGTCTAATCTGCTTTTTCATCTTGGTGTCTGTCCATTGTCGATCTCACTTCTTGTGATTGCCGTTTTTTGTTTCTGAATATTTTGTGTTTATTTGCACCGTGTTTCAGATGATAGAAATTACAATCCCACTTTGAAAAGACTTGAAGTGTAGACGGTCATATTAAAACTTAAAAAACCTGTTGATAAATGTGTCCACAAAGCAAAGACAGCTCCACTTTGTGTCAACTTTGTGAGAAGCTAAACAGAGAGAAGACGAGCTCCCACTGTGTATCCAAATTACCGCCTCTCAAAGACATGGTGTCTATTGTCTGCTCTCTGCGCCGACAGAATAAATCAGCCTCCACTGCCTTCCTTCTTTCTTAATTGCTGTGATTTGCATTTTAAACAAGGTGAGCTGCCTTTTAACATGTTCTTAATCAGAGCAGGAGAAAATGAAAAGACTCACTCCACTGTTTCCTTGAGGTCACGGAGCACGGACCTGCTGCGATGTCTGTTTCCTGGTTCTATGTTTGAGAAGTAATCCATCAATTTGACTAAAAAGTATGTTTCTGTCCACACACTTTCTTTCTTCACCTCTCAAAGGTTTTGTGTCTCATCAGTTAGTTTAACCAAAAAAACCTATTTCAGTTTTTTCCGATATTCAGCAAACAAGATTTTCATAATAAGAATAGCATTCAAAACGTTTCATTATTGGTAATCACTGCACATTATATTAATGAACCAAAGAGACGTCTTTTCGTATCTTTTTACAGGGATAATAAGTTATAAGAGCAGCAGAACCCTTAGTGGTCTAATAAAGTCTTTGATGGCTTTACACATCAAACTGTTGTTGCCAGAATCCCCCTGTCTGTGAGCTTCAAACCACTGACTATCTGGCAACCCATGCTTCGGGCCTCAATCCACTCTCTTGCGATAAATATTACAGAACAAAAAATACTGGAAAACCAAAGCAATATTCTTCACAAAGAAAATCCCACATATTAATGATAATTGTAGAACTTTGATATGTCTCGATGTGGAATTAAAAAGTAAGTAAGATGAAAAACCTAGGACTAGATAGCAGTCTGAAAAAAATGCCTATAGATGGCGCTGTTGCACTCACAGTTGTGTTTTGCATATTGACGTGTTCAGGGTCAAACAGTGTATAAGTCGTTTGAAGCCTCATCGGACAAACACCGTGGTTCAAAAAGCTCATTCAGGGGATTCTGTGCGCCCCTTGTGGCCAAGTGTGGAACATACACCCTCTGCAGAAGGTGATATTTTGCTCGTCTCAGTTCATATATTATACTCAGCAATTTTTGGGAACTGATCGCAATATGTTTTGGTCTGAGGCCTCCTTCAGGTGGCGCTATAGAGTTCACATTAGACAAAACAATTTAGGTCATCACGACCAAATAAATAATTATGTATATTTATGATTTTAATGTCTTGTGTGAATGTCTCTATCTTGTTTTGTTCAGCACTTTGAGTTGGCTTGTGTATGAATTGTGCTATACAAGTTTCAGGGTTATTTTTTACTGATTCAAACACATTTATCTTCAGGGTGTTTAGAGAGAAAAATAAAATGAAAATAGACCAGTGAAAAATAATGTATACACAGGTCCAGATTTAAAGTAATTCTGTTGTAAGTCCATCCCCAGCACTGCTCCACAGGTCAATGGCAGCCGTATTAGTATTGTAGGTTCGTGCTGCACAAATTCAAATCATATTTCTTGACTTCCTCTTCTCATCGTGCATTTAAACAGTGGTGTATTGACGGAGAGCACATTCCACTGCACCACATTATGCTGAGCTCTCCACAACATTTCATCCTTTCAAAATCCATCGAAAAGTGCAGAGAGAAAAGCAGAGCGCACAACAAATGCGCCTTCATGACTGAGAAATGAAACCTGCCGGGTAAAAACTCAGTCCATATGTAGAGAGGATGTTTCTGTAAATGCACTTAAGGTAGGATTAAGATTCAGATTAAGAGATCCTTTATTTTTCCTACAGCGGGGAAATGTCAGTATTGTATCAAAAGTTACAGAACAGTAGGAATGAGCAGCACAAGATAAATGAAGATTAACTCTATTCTGAAGAGTTCCATTAAATCCATCTCTGTGTCTTCTCGGGGATACCTCAAAAATAAATCTCTGCCTTAAATATCACAACCCACTTCTCATCTCTCTGGCTGTCGCTAAGAAAGTCATACTCCAAAACTGGAACAACAAAAAAGCATATAACATAAAACTCGGATCCACCTTTCAGGAAACATGGAAATACTCCATTAATCACTTATAATAACTGTTCACAATACAATCATAATCTCAACTGAAAAAACAGCCACAAGTACATCCCAAAATGATAATGAAAGAGGAAAAAAAGACAATTAACTCTATTCTGAAACAAAATAAACTCTCTAACTTTAGCATAGAAAGAATCAGTATAAAATCTGTAGATTTAGCATAATACGGAAACAAGTCTAAAATCTCTCACTTTAGCATGATGGAGCAGCTGGACTAGAGCACAAAACACCCCTGACTTAGCTTAATAATAATAAAATGAGAAATTGGACGTTGAAAGGTATCTATTGGGTTCAGTCGAAGGAGCTTATAAATGATATAGGCGGTTGGTTTGGAGTTGCCTTCATTCATGGCCCCGAGCGAAGCCTCTCGTGAGCAACCGAAAGAAAGCAATAAAAAATACATGTGGAGCTTTGTGAGAGACTCGCCGCACTCTGCTCAAGTGAGAAGCAGCGATATTTCTAAGTACAATTGAGAGAAAGAGATCTCATTGGATTTAATTGGGTCTTCTATTCGGACTAACAAGAGCGAGTATTCTAACGGCACATACCGGGACTCATTATAAAGGTCCTGGATGTTTCGTTTTAACAAGGAGAGGAAATGAGCACTGAATGAAATGTGAGGGGACATTTTAATGGAAAAACCCTGAGGTAAAAGTGCATTTCCTCCAACAACATTTTGAGCTCGAAAAGTTGGGGTTGTGTTGTAAGATTCTATCTCGGCGAGCAGGCGGGGGCCAAAGCAGTTACAGAAAAGAGGCAAATTCAAAAGAACATTTTAAGAGGAATTTTGCATTTTTCCTCAGATTATTATTTGTTATTACACAGCTCCTCACAGCAGCAGTAGAATGCCCATGCCATGCCCATGGCAACGCACTCTCTGCTTGTCTTTCAGATGCGTGGATAACTCCGCAAGTAGTTCCGGCCACTTCGGAGCTAGCCACGCTCAATAAACGCAAATACCAATCAATCAACGCCATTAAATGTTAATCGGAGAATACTTATACATTCAACATTCTTCACACATGTGCACAGAGATTTTCAGAATTTACTGCTCTTGTCTTCATGACAAAAATACTATTTATCTGCGTCAAAAAGCGATCATGAAAAACCCAGAAGTAGTTCCAGCCACTCCGGAGCTAGCCACGGTCATTAAAGGAATAGTTCACCGTTTTTACATACTGACATATGTTCTTACCTTACCTTAGACTAGTTAATATGTACCTGTCTGGTCTTAGTCCGTGCGCTCTGTCATGCAAACGGAGCAAAAACGGGAGCACAACCGCAGCCTCCTCTGGTCACTGTATAGTACCCAAAAGGTAGCTCCCGCTAGAAGCTACCAAACTCTTCCAAGTGTTCCCTATTAAATGTATATAGTTACGTGACGTGTTACACTGCAAAGTATAGTAACACAGAAATGTAACAGTCGATTTTCTCATCGGATAAAACGGGTACTATATTGTGAGGCGTAGTAATCTGAGTAGCGCTACGTCCGCGCACTAACTTCTCTCCGGAGACTTCTCTCTCGCTCACTTCCGTCAATAGAAGCAGCGTGACTTGTAGTACACACAGTAGCAGCGAGAGAGAAGTCTCCGGAGAGAAGTTAGTGCGCAGAGAAGTTAGGAGCGCTACGTCCGCGCACTAACTTCTCTCCGGAGACTTCTCCGGAGACTACACGGCTCCAGAGACTGCTGATGGTCCTCTGAACACAGCCCTGGACCAGAGAACCAGACCATTTGCCGCTCTCAGCAGAGACCACTGGCACAAAAATCAATGTGATTAGAGCTAATGATTGAGGAGAGAAATATACGTGCGTGCAGGGGTCTGAGCCGTACCCACCCACCATGACATTAGGAATCAACGAGTGCTGTGGAAGTATCTCTCTGAAGGATTTAGAAATGAAAAATGACGTGGTTTTCATTTCTAAAGAATAAAGGCCAAAAATACATAAAACTAGTAATAATTAACTGTTTTTTGTGTTGTAAAAGTTAGGTTCCTCAGCTTTAAGTCCCTGTTTTATACTTGGCTGAATTAAAAGGAGCTTCTTACACTTATGACACTGGAAACAACTTATAATTAGTGTTTTTGTGTTGGGAATCATGTGTTATGATAGCCTACAGCTATTGCAAAACCATAGCAATATGTGAGATTTTCATGTGAAGTCATCCTAAAATAATCCTAATCTGTCAAAAGGCAATAAAACATGCTCTTTTCCAACACTTCTTTAACTGATTACAGTAGTTCAGAGATATTTGGATTTCAAAGTTGGATTCACAACCCTTAAATCTTGTTATTGTTTTCATATTGATATCTCGCCCTCCACGGTTTCACCAATCAGAGAGTCTGTGATCCGGGTTGCCAGAACTCACTGCGCTAATCTAATCCCACTGGTAAAGTAACATGTGGCCGCAGAACTAAAAAAGGTCCTGTTATGATTTTCCGGCCTTTGTGAAAAAGGTGTTGGTTACAGATTTGTTGTTGACCAAACTCTTGTCTATTCAGATATTATGTTCCCAGCTGGATTCTCCTGCATATCTGGCAACCTGAGTCAGGGAGAGTGGGAGATTGTTGCAGTACCACTTTTGACCAGATGTTTACATACTGCTCCTTTAAACATTGTGCACAAATCAATGAAAATAGATTGTGTCATGTTTTTTCTCTCTGGCGCAGACAGGGATGGCATAATGTGTGAAAATGTGTGAAAACGGCCACTTCCATTGTGAGGGTTGTGCTGCTCTGTTTCTCCCCCCTCCCTTTTTGTTTCTCTTTGCAGAGCTTGTGGTGATGGGGGCCAGGCTGGATAGTGCAGTAGAAACACCTGCAGCCATTTTTACACCTGGCTTCATAAGCTCAGTTTGGACTCCTCTTCAGTGCCAGATCATTCCGTCACATAGGGTAGTGTCCTTGTGCTCTTGTTCCTGTGATTTTTTTTGCTTTTTCACACAGACCCTTGTTTGCTGCACCTCCTTGTTCCCAGCCTCTGCCACCACAACATGTCCGCAGCTTGTAATTATTATTTTTTGGGTTTTGGACTGTAAATACATTTTTGCCCTTCGTCAGCCTGTCTAAACTCTGCTTTGGGGTCCTCATTTGAAAGACACAACATCCATATTATTCAACAACCTGCACATGGCTAATAATAGGCATTTTATTTATAGTAATCAAAACATGCAATGTGGACCCATAATAACAGAGTTTGTGTATTCAGCTTTGCATGTTATTGCTTGTGCCTGGACTGTTTTCTCGAGGCATAATTAAACCATGTGTGTATTATGTGTGTAGTTTAATATCCACAGGATTTACTCTTCAATGTATGTTTGGAAGAATCAGTTCAGCAGAGTGAGCTCCAAAAGAAACTTTATCCTCTCACATTAGCACTACATTTTGTCATGTACTGTATATTCAGGTCAAATGTATGACTTTACTGACTTAAATACAACGGTTCTGGCCGCTCTGCCAATTTTATTTAAAAGTAATACACATGTTTTGGTGAATTAAACTACTTGTGAGAAGATGCTTTTGCACTTTACACCACTCAGATTCGACAAATCAAGTTAGATTTTTATTTTTCTTCAAGATAAAATGCCAGAGCAACGCTGCGCTAATCGTAATTGTATCACTGATTCAAGAATAATACAAATGATCCTGATTCATACGAAACAAAATAGTAGGTCTGGATGTGCTGAATTGGGCTCCATGGGAGGGGTTAACTCCTTTTGCAAATTGAAATGATTAGATCTGACTTTTCCGAGACGTTTGTAATGTCTTTGATGTGTTTAGCCATCTCCTTTGCCACCAACGGAGATTTGCCAGCATTGAAATTTGCTAAACATTCCTCTTGCTCCGGCTTTCATTTCTTGATATTTGGAGCTGAACCAGAACAGATTGAAGAGCTTCCTTAACTATCGCTTTTGCTGCCGTTGCCAAACTACAACCAGCAAATTTGGCGCAAACTCAGGGGATTCAACCGAGGAAACTGCAGCCACAGGGACCAGACCCAGACGTACTTGTAAGGAATAATAATTGACCGCAGGTTTACGAATGGCTAAGGCCTGGCTAATAATACAAGTTTTATATTGATTTTGGGAGATTTTGTGGGTACCATGTAAATAGCATGAAAATAATTGGGTCCTTGTGGATCACTGAGAAGATGTGGTACAGTAGATGACTGTCAAAACACAAGGAAAAACACAGAGGATCCAAATAAAACTAGAGTGGACCTGTAGAAAATGAGAATGAGACTTCCAACAAAGTCTCCTGAGATACCTTTAAAACTAAATTTGCCAGTGGGACCAGTCAACATTTCTCGTGGACATCTCATCTGTAAATGGTAAAAACTGAAATCAATGTGCAATACTGCAATTTAAGAATGTCCACTGAATGTCACTTTTTTAACTTATTATCCTGCCAGGTATGTACAGTATATAATCTTACACTGTGGTCGTGTTGCAGAGAAGGAGGTCAGAGGGGCCAAGCTGGAGCAATGGCCGAAGCACGTCTGGTGTGTGAAGGAAGAGGAAAAGTGGATTTTGGTTGATATAATGCTGTGATGGAAATACATGTTTTTTTCTATGAACATGAAATCACATCGGCTGATGCTGTCACTTCAGACGTATCGACAGCAGGTCCTGTGTGTGTGCTGTGTGGAGGAGAAAGCTTTGCATGGGTCAGTTGTTCATACATAACCCATGCAGTGATCCGTCTCATTGCTGATCACATTATAGGCCTATACCGTTCCCTCGCCTCTGCCGTCGCTGCTTATCACCGCAAAACAGACCCCATCCCTCCGCCCCCCGCAGAGTCGCGTGTGGACCCAGGTGAGCACGTTTATACTCCGACAAATGCTAATCGCTGAATCATATCCACCAATGGAAATAAAAAGGATTTCCTCTCATTAAATCCAAATTCAGTGTTTATTTGTCGAGCAAACACGAAACACCGAGACCGTTAAGTGCACTTTGCTTTCCAAAGTAAACTAGCTTTTTCCAGATAACCAGTCTTATGATTAATGATCCGGCTCAAACTAATTTAAACATGACACTGAGAAAAGCACTGCACACCAAATATTCAGCTGCAGTAGGTGAGAGGAAAGCTGCGTTAGAATAGTTGTTTTTTTGTAATAGACTGGTGAACTTTCTACTCTTTACAAAGTCTTATCACAATCACCAAAATAAGAAAGACAAAGCAACTTTCAGAGCTGCTTTAATCAGGCTTGGAGCAAATTAAAGGTGGGGTGCAAAACTCCCCTAAAAATGTGATTAAAAAAACTTAACTAGTTCCACCCTCACGCAGCCAATCAGCTCTCAGCCCACATTGTCCTGTAGTAACTCACACGGCTCTTTATCACATGAAGATAACATGTTTTTAATATCATGGTCTGGTTTCAGACACCCCAGCTTTATCTCTTTATGTGAATAGATGATATTCAATAATCAGTGAACAAACTAAGACAGTGTTTACTTCAGACTGTTTGAGCTTTTGAGTTGTAGGAACTTAAAGTAACAGAAGCTCAAACATTTAAATGATCTGTGAGATTGTTTATCACTTTATACAAACAGTTGTTTTCATTCTATATTTATTCATTAGAATAAGTGATCTCGGTCCATGACCTCACATGGAGCTGGTGTGTGTGGCGCTGAGACTGAGGCGCTGAGACCAGAGCCAGTGTTTAGAGACCAGCGCTGGGTTCCCAGACTCCGCCATCATTATGTGTTGACTTATCATCTGTGAAGTTTAGTTTCTGTCACTAACTTTTCTCCTGTTCCTTCGAAGCCAAAAGGGCAAAGAGAGGAAACATATGGAGCTGCTCGCGGGTGGTCAGAGCAGCAAGACGTGCACTTCTTACACGAGACTGTCCTTGGGACAGAAACACTGCTCAATATTTATGGTTTTGCATAGTGTAGTTTGTTAGGGTAACTTCTAACATCAAAATGGCTGCAGTCGAGTCGACCCTGAGAATATAGTCGCACAAAGAGGATGTTTTGTCTGTGAAATAATTTAAGATGTGAGTCTCCACAACATGATGTAAAGCAGTAGTAGATTTTAATTTGAGCTGAATGTGAATCTCGGTCACAAAAGACTTTATTCCTTTAAGACTGAAAACAAATTTCAGAAGTATTTCTGAGCAAACTTTGGATGTGTTTTCTCAGATGTTGGTGGCAGTAGTTCACTTCAGAACACAAGTTGGACAAAGGAGATGGGACACTGTGTAATATTTCTAACATTCTTTTGTATTTTGCCGTAGTCACTAGTCACTGATTCTTTCACTGCTGATTGATCAACGTACATCATCAGACTGATGAGACAGAAAATATTGAGCCTAGAAGAAATTTGAGAAATCAAAGTTTGACTCTTGACGATGGATAGTATTTAGTTTAGCCATAGAGAGACTGTGAAGTCATTTAAACATAAATTAAATCAGAGAAAAATCTGAGGAGCACAGGGACAGGCCACATGGAACAGTCTACCTGAAAATGTGAGACCGAATTCTACTCTGGCAATCCTCAAATCCACCATAAAACTGAAGGATTTTATCTGTTCTTTTAAAAATCATTTATTTTCAAATCAATCTTGTGTGATTCATTCCCTGTATGATTTCAGTTCATTCTTTCTTGTTTTATAAACTGCTGTAAACGATGAGAAACATGTCCCAGATCCTGACCTGATGAAGTGGGTGAGGTTGCACCAGTGCTGAGGGTGGATCAGGGACATGTCCTTTTTGAAGTGTTCTCCGCAGACCTCCACCTCCCACTGCAGCCGAGACTCGTTACACACTCGCCTGAGCCGCGGCGCCTCCTGCGTCTCCGCCCCTGTCAGCACAGAACAACACTTTAAAGGGGACATAGTTTACTAAATTGTTTTTTTTTTTATTAATCAAAGCGGCAAATGCTCCAACATCCTTGAGTTTGTCATCACTGCACACTGTACTCTCACTGTGATCTGCTGCTATGTCGGCACTTAGTAGTAATGCCATAGTGTAAAAAACTACACTCAACAAAGACACTTCACTTTCAGTCCCAAAGTTTGCAGACTAAAGTGATCCCTCTGTTGTCCTTCACACTCTTTGTAACAATAACTGACGTGGAACCCATCTCAAAGTTGCGTTTTAGTAAGTACTGTTTATTTATGTAGCGCATTTTACAGAACGATGTCACTGTAAAGATCACGGTGATGACAGAAGAGAGACTCCGACCACACGGGAGCATCAAAGCCCCCAACACCATCCACTCACACTCTCGTTACATTCAGACCTATTGTACATGTTTTTAATGGCAGGAGAAACCGGAGCACCAAGAGGAAACCTACGCAAACATGGGGAGTGGAATGTAAGTGGACTCCATTTACGAGCTTGGAAGATATTTTCGGGGAGTCTATTTTTCACACGTCTCACAAAGATATGCACCAAAAATGTGTTATATTTGATATCTGTGGTGATGAGGAAATAAGAAAAAAAATCACTAGATAATGATTATATAGTTAGCTATAGTTCATGCAGATATAGAAAAACTAGAGCATCAGTTTTTTACATAAAGAATCTCACCTGATACACTGCTCATCATCCAAGCGTTTACTGAAATAAAAAGAAGAGAAATATTACAATCAATCAGGGATCTGAAAATTACTCTAAGACAAAGATCCTCATCACGGTCCTTCAGAAATGTGTTGTACAAAGATGGACCACGTCTTCAAGACCAAACTGATCCAGGACCAGACACTTCGAAGACCATTTATATATTTTAAGAGAATACATCATTTCCTCTGCGTTGTATAGGCAAGGCAAGGCAAGTTTATTTATATAGCACAATTCATACACAAGGCAATTCAAAGTGCTGAACAAAAAAAGAAAGCATTAAAATCATAAATAATCACAAAACATTAAAAAGAAAGATAAAAATATAAAATCCCTCAGTTGTATGCACAGCTGAACAAAGCTGTCTTTAACCTGGTTTTAAACATTGTCATCGAGGAGGCCTGTCTCACATCTTCAGGAAGACTGTTCCAGATTTTAGCAGCATGAATCTGAAAAGCAGCCTCCCCATGTTTAGTTCTGACTCTGGGCACTAACAGGAGTCCAGTCCCTGTGCTCCTCAGAGTCCGGGCTGGTTCATATGGTACTACGATGTCACTAATATATTTTGGTGCGAGGCTATGGAGAGACTTGTACACAAGCAGAGCTGTTTTAAAGTCTATTCTCTGAGCCACAGGAAGCCAGTGCAGAGACCTGAGAACTGGACTAATGTGGTCGTACTTCCTGGTTCTAGTCAGGACTCGAGCTGCTGCATTTTGAATGTACTGCCGCTGTTTTACAGTCTGTTTGGACAGACCTGTGAGCAGGCCATTGCAGTAGTCTAACCTACTGGAGACAAAAGCATGGATAAGAATCTCCAGGTCTGCTTTAGACACTATGTTTTTGATCCTGGCAATGTTTTTTAGATGGTAAAAAGCTGCTGATGTTGCTGATTTGATGTGGCTATTAAAATTTAAGTCTGAGTCAAGTATTACCCCTAGATTTCTGACCATTTTTGAAGGTTTTAGGGAGAGAGACTGTAGGTGACAGATGACGCTCTCTTTTTGTTTCTGGGAACCAAAGACAATCATTTCAGTTTTGTCTGCGTTTAGCTGAAGGAAGTTGTTTTGCATCCACTCACTGATCTGTTGGATACAGTGAAGGAGTGAGTCCACTGGTCCATGTTCTCCTGCAGTCAGTGAGACATAGATCTGAGTGTCGTCTGCATAGTTGTGATAGGTACAGTATTAACTGACCTAACGGCAGCATGTAGAGATTGAACAGAAGAGGTCCCAGGATTGACCCCTGTGGTACTCCACAGGTCAGGGCCATATGATCTGAGACACAGTTTCCAATCTCCACAAAGTACTTCCTGTCCTCAAGGTAAGACCTAAACCAACTTAGGGCGGTGCCAGGTTGGCGTCGCTGTATAGAAGTATATCAGGTTCTTTGGATGGAACTTTCTCTGTGGACTTTGATCTGAGTTTGTTCTTCTTCAGGCTCCACATAATCTGCTGTATGTAACTGTTGCATTGTTGCATTTAGAATTATGTATGTTATGTTTAGCCGTTTTAGTCGTCTCCATCTTTCCTTTTTAGTCGTCTCCATCTTTCCCGACACGATCTGATAATCCAATAATGCAGCTGCTGTTTGTTGGACATCTCCTGTGACCACAGCCTCAGAGGAAAACACTGTGTTTGAAGCGCACAAAGCTCATGCTAAATATAGACACTTCCTGCTCCTGCTTTGCACCAGGAGGATTTAGGGAATTTCAATTTTCAGGAGCAAACAAATGGTTCATAGATTTAGGATGAGAATCGTCCTACAGCTTCAGTCAGTGCAGACAAATCCATTGTAGTATTTCAGCTCGACAAGAATCAAAGGTACAGTAATATTTTAATTTAATATTTTTTATTATTCCTGATTAAAATGACAATAGACCTCCTTCCCTCCCTCGTGACCAAGACCCCTCCTCCACGTGAGCAAGGACCTTTCCACCACCTGGAGCTTTTAATCATGGGTTCACATCAGTAAGGGCGGGTTTCGGCTCAAAAGTGGCCAAAATGACGTGCGCTGACATGCTTGCAATACCACCCCGGGCCGATGGGGGTGGACCCAGAAGAAGAATTAGCCAATGCTAACATAGCGTTGGCAGACCTCTGGAAAACGTCTTTACAGGATGGACCAAAAGTTGGCTCTTGGCCCAAAGCTCCGTTCCATATGTGTGTCAATGCTGAGGGGGGTGGATTTTTTTGGTCCACTCTAGTTTACTTGCTGTGAATTTTTGAAGTCTCTCGTTCAAATGAATGGAGCTCTCGCCGGCTGACACATGCGCAGATGCGTTTTTTCAGTTTTCTTGTGGGCGGGACCACTCGCGGCCATTTTGGATTGCTCCAGTAGAGCACATTTTTGGCCCATTAGTTAGAACGGCGGAAATAGGCGTGACTACGTCTGTTAATATATACAGTCTATGGTTTAAACACGGGTCGTTTCATTTCATTGGTAATAAATGTGTGGTAAAGTTTGGTGTTGAAATAGAGTCGGAGCGTTTAGAATTACTTTATTTGATAGCGACCTTTCCATTATATGTCAGTGTCACAGAAAAGCCATTATTTTAGAACTAACTTAATCATTTCCATCCTCCGACTTCTCGTGTTTGTAAGTTCAAATGTATAAATAGGAGGAAATGCTATTATGAGCTGCTGGTCTCCCTGGAGTTTATTAAAAACAGCAATCAGGGCTCAGCTGTGCCCTTTCTCTTTCAAAATAACATATGTTGTTTATACAGAGCTGAAGGAATCTAAAAAAAAAGTGTGAATAATTCAGTGTTTTCTTCATTTTATTAGAAAACGTGTACTGTCCAACTTTTCTGAAACACTACTTAATGAGCTTATTTAGAGACTAGAACCAAACTTGTGTATATTTTTACACCATTACCAAAATCAAAACGTGGATCTAAGTCTAAGTCTTTCTTATACACTTGCACAGACCTGATGAGTGATGATGCAACGATGGAACGTCATTTGAAATCACTGTTTTAAGTCTGAGCAGACACAGTACAGAAAGTAAATGCTAAATAAGAACGAGCGATATCTATTTGTTTGTGTGTTTGTCGAAAGCTATTATATTCACATCCGCTTCATCAAACTGAATCTGACACAAAATCTATAATCAGAGCTGAGGAAGTACACGCTCAGACTGTACAATGAACACTGTGCATGGCTGTGATTTTAAGACCTTCTTTTAGAGCTGCATGTAACCATTTAACCATTATTTTGATGATTGATCATGATTTGGTCATTATGAACATATAAGGTCACATGTTTTCAAAAATCTTATACATTTTACAAGAAGAAAAGAAAGAACTAAAATGCAAATATCAAGACTTTTACTTCTAAATAATATTTGATTAAAAAATACCGATAAGCAGTTGTGATACATTGTGTAAGGGATAATGTATAGTAGGCAGGTCATTATCGGAAAATAAGTACCGAACACAAAATAAACTTCTGTCCACTTTTATGAATCCCGAAAGGTTTATTTAAAGCCAGAAAATAAAAGGGTTCCCGAAGGTTTTCCCGGGGCTATGCAAGTAACAGTTAGGCTGGCAACTTCCAAACTAGAACTCTCTCGAACTGCATGAAAACTGAACAAAGAATTCTCAACATCAGCGGTGAGAGACACAAACATAAACCTAACCTAAATCCATAATTCAATCCTCTGCAAATGTTCCTAAAATGTCCCGGAATCTACTTCCGGGTTTTTCACGATTGCTTTTTATCGCATTAAAACAGTATTTTTGTCATGAAAACCTCAACAGATCATTCTGAAAACGTAATGTATTTTCCGATTAACATTTAATTGTGTTGATTGATTGGTGTTTGCGTTTATTGAGTGTGGCTAGCGACAAAGTGGCCGGAACTACTTATGGAGGAATCTACAAATCTGATTACAGGCAGAGGTTGCGTTGCCATGGGCAGCGGTCATTATTGTTTTGAGAGGTCCGTTATCAAGAAAAAATGACCGGTAGAACGTTTTGAAATTACATTCAAATCAATGGAGCGCTCTACTGCTGCTGTGAGGAGCCGTATAATAAATAGCTGTAAAAACTTGTTCTCAGCGTGTTTAATAAAACCATTAACCAATCACTAAATTAATGAATGAATATTTCAATAATGTATAATAACAGTTCCCTCCACACCCCTGCTCCTGGACCGCCTCATGCTCAGTCAACAAAAACAATCTGTCTGTACTTTTCTTTCACATTATTAATCATATGTCTTCTAAATACCCAAATAAACACTTGAATTGGATAGTGTGGATGTGGCGTCTGTCCTATCTCCCTTTATCCTTAATCCCTTCATTTGTCATTTCACATCTTTGGTTTTACGTTGCATTCCTGATCCCTTCACAAACTCGGTGCAAGCTTTGTTTTTTAAGCCTCCAACACAAACTCGGTCGACTGGAGTCAATCTAAAGATAAAGCTCTAAGTTAAGGTTCCAACACAAACATTCCTTAAGCTACGCGACACTAGACAAACACTTAACAAAGCTTCCCAGATACATATTTTTAGCCGTATATTGTGTGCATGCTGGGAAATAAGACAAAACATAACAGATTGTGACAAGTGCTTTCGCGGTTTCGCTAATTAATCATCAAGACGTGCCACGCAGAGACAACCAGCTGCGACCAGGAGCCAGCTGTTAGCAAGGAGAAAACAGGAAGTGGTGGGAATGAATCTAGTCGGAGCGTAGCAGCGGGGGCCTTTCTGGAATCAGGACGGCGTGCGCTACAGCTGCAGCTCACCGTGTCGCTAATGTGGTGATTCACGCCTTCCGACGCGAGAGGAGGATTAGGATTTATGAGCGAAGTGAGAGGGTTTTCTGGACTAGTAGGCCGAGCAGTTTATTGTTCAGATGAATGCGGAGCCAATGCCGATCGTGTTGGTTCATCACGAGGAGAGAGAGAAGTCAACGGGTCGGAATCACTCAGAGAAAATTGTAGAGTTGTTGGAGCAAATGATTGATTTGAGGATTGAGAGGAATCTGGGGTTTTTGAGGCG